TGAAATGAAAGGCCGAAAGACAAACCAAAAACCGAATCCACTGTGTTTAAAACCTAATGCTGGTGTTCAACTCAGGAGAAAAAAAAAAAATGACAGTGATAACGATGGTGAAGGATATAAACGAAAACGAATGAATAAAGTTTTTTTTAAAAGCAGTAAAATTAGAAATTAATAATAACAATAATAATATAAATATAAACAAAAAGGAGAAAAAAACCACACAAAAAAACCTATGGCAAGCCAGCCTAACACCTTTCGCACATGTACGTAGAAGTGTAAATAAAAAATAAGAATATATAGAAGCGCAACATTTGATTTCACTTGACAAAAGTAAATAAATAACTCTATATACATGGAGGGCCTTCAGTTAGGCTTGACTTGCCAAACACTGCGAGCCTCGGTTGTAAAAAGACCAGGCCGAAGTGGTTTAAGAAGGGTTCTTCCACCTACTAGCTACTGGGCGACATACACTTCTTTCTTTCTCTCTCTCTCTCCCACTCCTCCCTCTCACTTTCTCTCTCTTCTCTTCAGTCTCTCATTTTCTTTCACTTGTTGTATGAGGGGTGGGAGGGGGAGGGGGAGGGGGGGTGCAGTGGTGGTGATGAAGGACAGTAACAGTCTGATTGATCATACCCCCACCCCACCCCACCCCCCTCCCCTGCCAACTTACCTTCCCTGACACACAAACACACACACACACACACACACACACTGACGTCTTCACTCGAAATACAAAAATAAATTTGTTCAAGAAGTACATTAATGCATTTGAGTTAAATATAGCTCTCTCTCTCTCTCTCTCTCTCTCTCTCTCTCTCTCTCTCTCTCTCTCTCTCTCTCTCGTTTTCTCTCTTTCGTTTTCTCTCTCGTTTTCTCTCTCTCTCTCTCTCTCTGCTGCACACAGGTGTGCAAACACATACATAAACTATGACAAAATTCTTCAATCAAAATATAAATTTACAACTACTGGTCAAACATCATACAAAGTTTATATATATAAGACAGTCATGAAAAAAAAAAAACCATCAACAAGGCATCATTATACATCATAATCAACTAAGAAAGTCATTTTGAAAAACTGAAAATTCATGACCCTTTATGAAAAGTCACTATGAAAAATGAAAAATTCATGATGATCCACTATGAAGAGTGAAAAATTCATCATGATCCATAATGAAAAGTGAAAAATTCATCTCATCATGATCCGTTATGAAAAGTGAAAAATTCATCTCAACATGATCCATTATGAAAAGTGAAAAATTTCTTCATGATCCAGAATGAAATGTACAGAAACTCCCCGAAATGGGAAACCTCAACGAAACACCAGGCGAATGTGAGCGAGCGTCCACACACTTAGTGAGAAACCCCACAGCTTACATTACAACTCATAGGACAACAGCATAGCCAGGCAACAATTTTACCACACAGCAAAGTTCTGATCTCTCGCTTCTCCGGACTTGAACGAACGTACAGCAACGAAACAAAAACATGACATGGCTCGAGTCACCTTTCGATATCACAGGGCTCGAGTCACCTTTCGACATCAGAGGGCTCGAGGTCACCTTTCGACATCACAGGGCTCGAGTCACCTTTTGACATCACAGGGCTCGAGTCACCTTTGGACATCCAGGGCTCGAGTCACCTTTCGACATCACAGGGCTCGAGTCACCTTTCAACATCACAGGGCTCGAGTCACCTTTTGACATCACCAGGACAAAATTTCATCCTGTGTGCTCTCTACATATGTCAACACGCCTGCGACACAAATGGACGCAGCTATCCTGACACATCTACAGCTTACACGACGAGACAAATCCATGACCTTTAACTTGTTCACACTTTGTAGACACGTTTGAAAGCAACAGAGTGATATCAAAAGGATGTTCATCTATGATGATGATGATGACCGTGTGCCCGTCCTCAATTTCATTCAACTGCGTGGAAAAAAAGATGTTCTCGAAACTTGATGAAACATGCATGCATACATTCATTAAAAACAAGATTCATGCTTGTTAGCTTTTTACTTTGACAAGCGCAAATTGGGGATACAAAATCGAAAAACACATGTATTCTTACAAAAAAAAGGAGAAATTGAAAAACATTTTTTGCAGTTCAGTTTTCTATTTCATATTATTATATTCAAAGTCCATGACAGAAACACACACAGAGTCATGACATTGCCCAAGAGTAACAGACAGACAAACCAACAGACAGTTGTGCACACACAGTATAGCACCAGGCAATGAGAGAGTCCACGCTAGTACCTCTGCGGAGTGATACAAAAACAAAACTTACCAACTTAACACTACAGCGGGGGGAAAACAGTATAAGTCACAGGAAAAATATATTACATCAAAAACATTTCACTCAAACAACAGATTAATACAGACAAAGGCAAAAGTGGAAAATTTTGACTTGTGCCATTTTCCTCCTGTACTCTTTCACTTACTGTCGTTACAAAAAGCAACTCCTGCCTACTCAAACATCTCACACAACTCCATACCAAGAGACAGTCCAAGCTAATGTGGAGATGAGACTGATCAAATAGTCACTGGATAGTTGATTTTTGACACAGCTATACCGTAGACCTTTTATATTCAGTACTGTACCATTCCTGTGGGCTCCAAGACCATCACTGATCAAAAGAGTGGCTTCTCAATTTGAATATTTTTTTTTTCAGAACTTTGACATAACACAAATTTAACCTTTTTTTGTGATTTTTACATCGTTACAATTACTTTTTTTTAATGAAAAGATGTTCTAAAATTTCAAGGCAAAGTGTACAATATTTAATAGACGAACGTTGCATTTAATACTCTAAATAAAATAATTTTCAGGATATTCCCACTTAGAACATCTGTTTGAAAAATTGGTAGAAAAGAGCTAAATGCAAAAGTAAGTCTGATCCTTTGACACCTCTGCTCAAAGCTAACATAGGCATAGTTATCCTTTTACCAGCTGCTTGTATAAACACAATATGTCCACAATCTACAACACTCAAACAGACAGATAGTCCTTCCAAAGCTTTCAACAGTCCATCCGGATCAGAACATTCTAATCTTTAAGAAAGGGGAGGGGAACAAACCATCATTAAATCATCTATTTCCTTTGTGTGTGCTTGACTTTCAGTCTGGAAATTTGTTAAGTACGCAGTCAAGCACAAACAGCCCTTTACATCCAAGGCACGACTTCCTAGTGAGTGGTAATACCAACAATCCCCCCTAGAAGGAAAACTGAACAAAAAAAAGCCTTTTATAGCATGACACACACTTGTCAGAAGGTTGGTACTATGAACTCCACGTTGAGAACAAAACACTTCAACTCTGGTATAAATGTGATGGCATGGGAAAGCCTTGAGAACATGAAGGACAGACCTAGAGCAAATGGAAATGTAGGGTGCCATCTTGATGCTCATAACAGCAAATAAGAAAGAAACACTACCCTGAAAATGCAACAATAGGGTCCGATCCAAAAGTAGCAGTATCCTGAAAATGCAAAAGCAGGGTCAGTCCAGTGTTTTGTGTTGTAAAAACATGGCCATAAACCATTTGCCACTCTCATGAACCGTTGGAGCGTGCAGTATAGTCACGAGCACAACACCAACACGAGAGCCGTCAAATCAATCAGGACACCACCAGAGTAGAAAACAGCAGTCAGTCAGTCAAGTTTGAGCAGTGCCTGGGAAAGTCTCAAATAATGCACCTAAGAGAATACCCCTGTACGGGATTCAAACTAGGGTCATCTACTAAACAGTTCAGAAGGATGTTCAACCTGCTGCAAAAGCTTTGATCCCCCTACAAAAGTTCATCTGAGGACAGGACCCTGAAAAAGTTGTCGCTCTTCTCTACAATTTGCATAGGACAGGGTGCTCCTTACGACATCACGACAGGAGACAAGGAGCAAGAGAATGTGGGTAGCAACACTACAAATGGAGTGACATGTCTTAGTTTGACAATGTAGCGCTGCAGCGTATCATCAAGCGATAGATCTGCTCAAACCCAACAAGTAGGAGAAAACAGTAGGGAGGGAAGCGGCAGCAGAACAGAACACACAGTGGAGATAACTATCCTAAATCTGCACACCAGAACAGACCAACAGATTTTTCAGCCATCAGACACATTTTGTCCATCAGACATCAGACACATTTCGTCCATCAGACACATTTCGTCCATCAGACACATTTTGTCCATCAGACACATTTCGTCCACCAAAAACAAAAGACTTCTCTCCCTCACTAAGGCACACATTGTAATATTCATACTAAGCAATGTGTTCTGACAATGTTTCCATCTCACCAAGAAAGAAAAAAAATGTTCACACTCGCAAAACACACCCAGCACACTCATGAATAGCTGTCCACTTTTCACCCTAAACCGAACAGTGCAATGATATTTTCTGCTTCTTCAATTAATCAAAATAAAATTACTCTGATCTTATTTGAAAAAACCGGGTGCCAGCACACACGTGTGTGTGTGTGTGTTTCTGTGTGTGTGTGTGTGTGTGTGTGTGTGTGTGTGTGTGTGTGTGTGTGTGTTTGTTCAAGCATCCGTGTGTACTACACTATTGATTGGTCTCAGAAAGCTGTAAAGTTTTTTTCTCCACACTGCCTCCAGGTACATGAGCAAATAAAAAAAACATCTCTGGTCTCACGATGATAAATCGCACCCGGTCTCACGATGATAAATGGCACCCACACATCACAAAACAGCGTACAGCCGAGTGGATTGTCTGGTGACGGTCCATTTGACCAAGATTCAAATGTTCTTACAAACTGTCAAGTACTTTGTTTCTTCACAGCCGTACCTTGTTAGGAGGGTTTGTTTTACTCTTTTATAACACAGAACTAGAAAGTGGAATTTTGTATGATCTTCTAATTCTGTGCCTACTACAAATAAAGACAGCCTTCGGATTTCTTATTTCTCAGTGTCTATTACAAATCAAAATCGCCATCAGATTTCTTATTTCCAAACTACAACAGATGGTAGCCACTACTTTTTTCCTTCAAATACTAAAATATGCGAATATATTTTATATAACAGATTGCCAACTGTGTTTTTCTATTTTCAAATACAACCACATACAAGATCAACTACTTTCTACTTCTTTTTTTTTTTAACATTCTTCAACTTTGTTGCAAGGTGGACTTTATAATATGGTAAAAGCCACTTAGTTTTACTAACACTATGTAGTAGCCATTACTTCTCTTATTCTAATACTGCAACATATGGAAGCAACTCTACTTTTCTTTACGTTCAAATACTACAGCATAATATGGGTACCACTACTTATATAACATAACCCTTGTACTACAGTATATGATTGCCACTACTTTTCTTTGTTCATTTCTATAACACGTGTGTGGTTATTGCAACAACCTAAACTACTTTTCCTCGTTCTACATCGTACCGTATTAGCCTAGGTTTTTCTCACCACATCATACCCTCACAACAACAACAGCAACAACTGCCTCACCCGCTACCCAAGGGAGGCAGTGGCCATGGCGAAGAACACGCTCTTCGGGGCTCCAAACATTTCGAACGGATAGGCTACCACGCACGCACACACACACACACACAACAACAACGACAACATAGTATTTGTCGAGATGTTCACATTATCGCTCTTGTTGTTGGGCACAGTCCGGCAATATATCCTCAGTCTCTGCGGGTCAACTCCCTCCCGTGGCAACAGTCTTGCCTGTCTTCCTCCTGTCTCAGGGTGCTGGGTGGCTCTATATGGTGGACTCGGTGGCGTGTGTGGGTTTGGGTTTGTTGTTCTGCTGGTACACACCGATGAAGGATCCGTCCTCGTTGAAGTAGGTACTCTCGTCATCCCCGTACTCCTGCAGACTGTCTTCGTCACCACCGATCGGCACATCGTCGTACTCGAGGTCGCCCCGCGGCTTCCTGTCCGGGTACTCGTAGTCACCGTAGTCTCTGAAGTCACTGAGAGAGACAGGTATCCTTTGTTACAAAATCAATGATGATGACGATAATGACATAAACATATAACCACTTTAGTTTTACTAAGAGTTTTACGGCACTTGCAACACAATAAGGTCATTTAAGTGCCGAAGATTAGAGAGAGGTGTTACAAGAGAGTAACAAAAACCAAAAAAAGAACGAGGTAAGATAAAGACGATAGATGTTTGATAGGAAAGAAGGAGCAAACCACAACAGAGCACCTGCCAACGACCCAGTATATCCTCCAGCCTGCCTTAAGGAAAGAAGTATCACTTACCGACAGCACCCTCTGACCTCTTACGGGGAGAAGCACTCAAGTAAGCGAATATTTGTCCAAGCCCTCACACAAACAGAAGAGGCAAACAACATACACACAAACAGACACACATGAACAAACACACTAACAGAACATGCAAACAAACACACGAATAGACACACATCAACAAACACACTAACAGAACACGCAAACAAACACACAAACAGACACACATCAATAAACGCACTAACAGAACATGCAAACAAACACACAGACACACACACAAACAGACACACACACACAAACAGACACACATACACACACAAACATGTGGGTGTACTCACGGTCTGGAGTAATCATCAAATCCCTTCTGCTGCAGCTCTTTCTCCGGGTCCAAGCCAGCACCGGTCTCCTTTTTGTCCACTGCACGAGTCAGAACAGCAGATGTTAACAACATATCAACTACAGTAATGACATCAGAATGCAGCGCAAGAAAATAACATACCAATAAATAACGATGACTACAGAAAACGCAACACACATTTTTAAAGTTTTAGTAAGAGTTTTACGGCACTCGCAACTGCATAAGGTAACACACATTAATGACATACCAGCAACAGTTGCCACAAAAAACAAAAAATGTATATCAACAACATCAGTGATAGTTTTAGTAGAGGTTTTACAGCGCTCGCAACTGCATAAGGTCAAATGAGAGCCAGTAGATTAGAGGTTTTACAAGAGAGTAACAAACGCAAAAAAGAAGGAGGGGAGATAAAGACGATAATAGATGTTTGATAGGAAAGAAGGAGCAAACCACACCAGAGCACCCGCCAACCACCCACAACATCAGTAATGACAAAACACATGTTATCAATATGATAATAACAATAACTATGAAAAATCACCATGTTATGTGTCACTGCACTGTTGAAGCAGGCAAAAATTAAAATAATGAAATCGAAGATAATGGTATTTTTGCGCCGGTTTGATGATTTTTTATTGGATTTTGGGGGGGCTCAGCACTTTTTAAGGCTATTCAAAAACACATTTCTGTGTGGATTATACTGAAAAGCGTTGCTTAAAGGCACAAAAAATGTAAAGTTTCCTTTCCCAAGAACTCTCAAGCTATAGAAGTACTTGATAAATAAATTATACTGAGTGTCGCACACGTTTCATATTTGCTAGCATGAGCTGAAAATAATTTCTACTACAGTCTAAAACATATGATAAAGAGTCTCACCTAACTTGTTCAATGGAAATAAATAAAAGAGTAAAAAAAACACACAAAAACTCCATCTTACCATTATAATCTCCTTCTTGTTGCTTCCTACAAATGATGAAGATGATGATAATGATGACAATAATCAGGAAGATGATGCCGATGATCAGGCCGATGATCCACATGTCGAAGCCCGCGGAGGAGACCACAGCTGCTGCAACAGAAAAAACAGAAACATGACAGAGAAAGGAAACCAAAAACAAAAACCAAAAAAAAAAAAACCCCAACAGAAACATTAGTGAAAAAGGAACAACCCCCCC